CTAGAAACTCTAGTTACTACTTTCCTATTACTACGCACTATACTAATGTTTGCCGCACTATACTCTAGTCGTATATAGTCGCTTATAGCGAGAGCACTAAGGTAGCGTTAGTCTAACCTCTATTTACTAGCAGTAAATATACTAATTTATATATTAGAACTATTATATAGGCTAAAGAATTAAAGTAAGTATTATAGTATATAAAATAGTATCTTATTTTAGTCTAAAGATACTTATAGCGCCGGAGGACTATCTAATTACTAGCGATTTCTCGTATACTACTAAGTAGCTTCCCCGATACTCGTAGGGCAGCTATAATATATCTATACTCTAGTTATATATCTACTAGTCTCTAAGCTCTAAGAAGAATATTCGTATAGATATACTTATAGGCATAATTAAGCTACGATATAGAATATAGAACTCTCTAGTACTAGTCCGTAGGTAGTTGCCCTCTTTAGAGAAAGTATTAGAGAACCGAACTATAAGACGAACGTTAGAAATAAGGTAAATTATCTAGCCTATCGCCGCCTTCTATACTCGTACTATCTTATCGTATAATACCGACGCGATAACCTACCTATCCGGCGAGAACGATACTATAGTAATATAGTAGTCGTACTCTTCGAGCTTCTACGTCTACTTGCCTATCGCTACGTTCTATACCTATACTATCTTATTATATAATACCGACGCGATAACCTGCCCGTCCGGCGAGAACGCTACTACGGTAACCTAATTGTCGTACCTTTTAAGCTTCTACGTCTGCTCGCCTATCGCTATATTCTATAGTCGTACTATCTAGTTACTTAATACCGACGCGATAACCTGCCTATCTAGCGAGAACGCTACTATACTAACCTCTCCGTCGTGCTCTTCGAGCTACTACGTCTACTCGCCTATCGCTACGTTCTATACCTATACTATCTAGTCCCGAGATACCGATACGATAACCTGCCTATCCGGCGAGAACGATACTACGCCGATCTCTCTATCGTGCCCTTCGAGCTTCTATATCTACTCGCCCGTCGCTACGTTCTATACCCGTACTATATTATTACGAGATGCCGACGCGATAGCCTGCCTGTCCGGCGAGAACGCTACTACGCTAACCTCTCTATTATGCCCTTCGAGCTACTACGTCTGCTCGCCCGTCGCCGCGTTCTATACCTATACCGTCTTATCTAAAGATACCGACGCAATAACCTGCCTGTCCGGCGAGAACGCTACTACGGTAATATAGTATTCGTACCCTTCGAGCTTCTACGTCTGCTCGCCTGTCGCCGCGTTCTATACCCGTACCGTCTAGTCTAAAGATACCGATACGATAACCTGCCCGTCCGGCGAGAACGCTACCGTAGTAACCTAATTGTCGTGCCCTTTAAGCTTCTGCGTCTGCTCGCCCGTCGCCGTGTTCTATACTCGTACTATATTGTTACAAGATGCCGACGCGATAGCCTGCCCGTCCGGCGAGAACGCTACTACGGTAATATAGTAGTCGTGTCCTTCGAGCTTCTACGTCTGCTCGCCCGTCGCCGCGTTCTATACCCGTACCGTCTTGTCTAAAGATGCCGACGCGATGGCCTGCCCGTTCGGCGAGAACGCTACCGCGCTAATATAGTCGTCGTGCCCTTCGAGCTTCTGTACTTCTGCGCTCCAATTTGCTAGAACCTGCGGAAAGCGCGCCTATCCCTAAGGTATCTATTAAGAGAAGGCTTTTCTAACGAGACTCTACGTAGGAGTAAACACTAATGCGGAATAGTAAAGCTATAAGGGAGCAAGGTCGATTATATAGCGGTTCCGTAGCACGAATCGTTTCGTATCTAGCAGAAAGCTAGTAACGTTATAGCTGTCGCTACTAACAATCGACAGCAAGTCGCTAATATAACCGATCGCGCTCGAAATCCTGCTAAGCTAGCTTAGGGCTTCGAGCTAGTATAAGAAGTGTATCCGTAGAAACGTATATACCTCGCTACGATCGTCTAACTGCGATCCGCTTTTAATAATATGTAGATGCTAATATCTGTAAGCATACGCGACGTCGGGGGGAATATATGTTCGAATCTACTCCGGAGACAGTTCGAAGCGCTTAGTTCCAGCCTATACGACACGATAGATATCGCTTCGTAAGATGCCATCTGCCGTTAGGCGTCGAATGCAACATTGCGCGAGCTTTATATAACTGTCGATCTTATCGATCTAAAACCTTTCCCGATCTAGGCGTTACTAGTCTATTAGAAAGTTACGAAACGACAAATAGAGTAGCTTAACCGGATCGTGCAGATTAGATAGGACCTCGAAAACAGAATATAGGTGCCGAAGGAGGTTACAAATCTCTTCTTCGATATCCTATAGCTAAATACGGAGTAGAGCTACAAGCGACGTTATAGAGAGAGGATCTACTATAAGCATAATCGGTCCTATAATCCTTCGGAAGTCTTCGATTAGTTTATCCTATTTATATAAGGTCTTATTATCGAGCAGATAGTTCAGAATAGGCAGGTATGTTTTAGCTAGGTATAAAGCTACGCTAGCATAGCGTTGCGCTAGAATCGACTAGAGACGCGTTCGTAGTTTTCTCTCCGATACGAATCGGTATACCGTCGAGGCAAAGATAAAGAGAGGGACGGCTAGTTCGACGAGCGCTTGCAGGTTAGCTTCGCTAGGCCACTTTTCTACTTATATGGCGCCCCCTCTTTCCTCTCTAATTTTGGCGAATATAGCGTCAAAATATATACGGAGATCGCGATAAATAGTATCTACTTAGACCTCTTCTAGAATAATATCGTAATAGAGACTTCCGTCGAGCGCTCGGAAACCTAGCTAGACAGGAAGCTCCGGCCTACTCGTAAGAAAGACGCGTAGTCGCAGGTTGCTCTTAGCCTCTAGTTAAGCGAGCAGCCGGAGGAAGAGTTAGATATCCGTGCTCCGGTCGCACTCGTCGAGAGCATCGATTATAATTACGAGTCTCTGCCTTAGTAGAGACGCCGAGTGCACGCCTAGCACCGGCTATATAAGTAGCTTCTTAAACTATTCTTATAGGCCTCTGCTATAGATAAAGGAGTCGTAATTAAGCATAGCTAGTATAGGTCTACGTATAGTAGGAATCTAGTCTATAAGTTATATAGCAATCGTAGTAAAGAAGAGGTTAGCGTTGCTACGGTCCTGTTTACCTCGCTTAAAGAAGAAACTTGCTCCTAAGCACGGCTTCCGGCTAAGTATTGCCGATCGATTTAGTCTCTATATAACCGTGCGACTAATAGTCGACTTGCTAGTACTAGCCTTACTATAGAGCTAGAAGATGAATTTGCCGTCGGATGCCTCTGCCTACTATTAAATACTGCCTAGTATTTCTAACCGCGTACCTTTAAGGCAGGTCGATATCGTCTCTTCTGCTATCGAGTTAAAGATTGCATTGCGAGCTATAGAGAGCTTTAAGAGATCTACCTTCCCCGCGGCTCTATTTTGCTGAACGTTAATCGCTGCGAGAAAACGCCGCTCGGCTATACTACGGCCTACGCTATAGTCCACGACGATATTAAGGTCCAGGATACTAAGTATAGTATAGTATATATCCTCGGGAAGAGTAGTCGTTCTGCCGTCTATCTATCTACGCTTCTCGTATAAGTCTACGCGACAGCTCGCCTTATAGTTATATAGGATGTCTTCTAGGATACCTATCGTTTGTGCAATCCGGCCTTCGAGCGTAGGCCCGATAGGTGTCCCGCGATATCTAACGGCCGCGGCACCCTTGTTCCTAATAACCTCCTAATGCTTCGTAAGGAAGACTACCGTTCGTAGTACGAGCAGTTCCTACAAGGTCCAGCCTCGCGTGAACTATACACTCTGCCGAAACGTATTATAATTATCGACAGACTCGATATCGCTCAGATAGGCTAGACAAAGCTCCGCATCGCGATACTATCTAAACATCGAATTGATAGAAAATAACAACTCTATAGCGTTCTTCTTATTAATGCAGCAGGTATCGATCTAGAGCTATCTGATCTAAGGCACTTTGCTCTTAATATACTCCGCAAAACCTTGCGCCTTCCTATAGCCAGCCGAGTCTATGTTCCGTCCGCTTTCTACATCTTCTAGCGTCACTTCGGAGTTATACTACCGGTGCGACGCGATCGCGTAAGGCGGCGGTTTGTTCGGTTCATCGAATTGGCGCAATTTAAGGGTGTCTATATAGAGCAGTCGCATAGCTCACGCAGTTGACGTGCTCTGTAGCACGCGGCTGCCTTGAATATATTAGACGAAGTTCTTCTATAGCCGTCGGTGTGCTATGCAATGTCCAAGACTACGGATTGCGCCGCTAACCTGTGTAGCTCGAGGCGATCGGCTAGGAGGCTAAGCTCTTGTATAAGGGCGCACCTATAGCCTCGTGCTGCGCATACTAAAGCGAATTATCGTGCGCGGACAGATCATCGGCCGTTGCGAAACGTGAATATGCCTCGCATACATAGGCTACTATGTGCTGTCTGCTGTACTGCCCGCCTCTAAGCGGCGTAAGTAGGATCTCTTTTCGCAAGGGAATTAGGGAGTGGGACGGAGCACAGGAATTTCGCGTCGCTTTGTTTAGATTCCTGAGGCACCAATCGGTAACACGGATCTAAGCTTCGTTGAACGAGGGCAAGACAACAGAAAGACAAGTTAAAGTGTTCGATTAGTGCTGCAGCATTTTCTCTAAGTGTCAATGCCGTCGAGTAATAACAGAAGACTTATAATACTAGAATGTGTCGAGAAGACGAGCTGAAGTGCGTCTGTTCTTGCTATCTTAGCATTTTCTAAGCAAGGTAATGCCTGTATCTCTCTTACTTCGCTCTAGTATCGTTGCTACATCTGCATCGGCTACCGCCGTAGCTACCGTTCAGCTACTAGAAATAATTCTTGGAGACTGTAATCGATTATCAAAAGGTTACGAGTTCCCGGAATACGAATCTCAAAAAGAAGAAAACGCCCCACGGGAACATAATACTACAATTCCTTTGCTACTACATCCGCGCCATAGGAGCCCTATATGGCCCCGGCATGAATCGACCCTCTTGAGCCTCAATGCCGACCCGCAACGCTTCTGTATTACGGATATCTTGGGTTTCGCTATTAGGTGCAAGCGGCTTTAGCCTGGACCTAGCGCTGCTAGCTTTCTTGGCCTCTTTTTCGGCTTTCTTTGCCTCCTTCTTAGCCTCTTTCAGGGCACGATCCATTCGTGCTCGTGCCAAGTCTTCGTAGCTTATCACTCTTGCCGTTCCGATAATCTCGGTCTTGGTCGATCGACGGGCTTTCGCTTCATTATTAATCTTCGCCAAAAATTGATTCTGTTCTCGAAGAAGGGCGCGTTCGGCGAACGACAGATGTGTTGCATTAGTGAGCTTCACGAGGTGTTTCTGGAAAAGCTGCCGACGCGTCACGTCGAGCGTGTCGGTATCGTGCTTCATCAGATTGTGCAGGGCGTGAACCCCTTCCGCCGATACGGGAGTCACGGGAGTCTTGGGTGTTACCGGAGTGTGCGGCGTCGGGCCGTGGGAAACCGGATCTTGCTGTACCGCGCCAGGCGCCAGTCCTGCTGGTCTGATATTCGCCTGAGGTAAGTCTTTCACTACTTTGGCCGGATCGAACGGGAACAGGCCTGCTTTGGCCCAGCCCGATCGTATATTCCGCGACGTGAAGGCACGCTCACGCGCAGGGTTGTACAGATACGTAAAGTGCTCCTTTCCGATCGTCCCCACGCCTCCACGTTCCAGACGTTCGACTTGATCTCGATAGGCTGCTTTGAGCGGACCGAACACGGAGATGTCACAGGGCTGCAGCTTATGGGAAGTATGAGAAGGGAGGCGACACAGCGTGATATTGTTCGCAAAACAGAACTCCAGGACTTCGAGAGTTTCATGCGTCCCAAACCCATCACAAATCAGCACTCGCGGCTTCTGTCCTGCACGTTCTTTGGTCTAAGGGTCGAACACCAGCTTCAGCCACTGCAAACTGAGGCATGAGTCCGTGTACCCGCTGTCGGAGAATGCGTAGTGCTATCCGGGAGTAGGCCACGTGCTCCAGTTGGATCGGTAAGTGGCAGCGGGCCAGATAATTATAGGATGCAGATACCTACTATCCGCGCTTACGCACTCGATAGCCGTAATCGTAACGCGCTTGACACGGGCACCTCTGTAGTCGTGTGAACTCTCCTTACTTACTAGAACCTTAACGGAGCCTAGCTGGGAAAGCATAATGCCCGTCTCGTCTATATTGCAGACGTTCTCTCGCAGTACGTTCGGATCTTGCAAGACCTGTCCGATTATATCGAACTAGTGTACCACTTTATCGTAGATCTTATATCGCTTGTAATCGAGCGCCTTCGCCGTACTAGCTTTGAGCTCTAGATGTCGCTTATAGAAGTGCTGCGGCTAATTTTTGCCCGGCGGTTTGCTAGGCCTCTTCGAAGGCGTCCGCTAACGAGCGAGACTAAACGCGATCGAGCCTACGTACTTAATTCGAACAGGTCGACTAAGTGCATCTTGCTAAACGAGAAACGCGACTAGCGCCTTCTCTTCCTACGGATCGAGGTACTATTAGCTTTCCGCCTTCGCCTTAAGCGACGGCCGTCCGCGCGCGCGATGCTAGAGCGTAGTGCGGGGAATATTAGTGTGTTGTGACCAGGCGCGAAAAGACCTCACTACGCCAGAGCACGCATCTTCGGCCAGCGCTAGGCTAGCCTTGTCTATATGCTCCGCACTACTATATAGAAGTAATATAGAGGAACGGGAAGAAGGAAGCAGAGTTTCTAGGGGATCTGCATTCTAGGGGATCTGCAGGTACCCGAAAACTGGTCCGAAAGCGGACAGCAGGCAGAAGCGCCGACTACACGTAGCTTCAGAAACATCGAGAAGCGCGCTACACTCCACCCCACTCTACTATATTGCACCACACATAGCATAACTGCACGTAGCATAGCGCTGAAACAGGTTTATATGTTTGATAGACTGAGGTCAGCACAATTACGGGTTTCATATTCACCGACGGACTATAGGTCTGCCTTGACGAACGGAGAAACTCTCGGATTGCACGACGCTTTGCCTATACACTTCCTAGAGCAGCAGACATGTGGATTGCCCTATGGACTATAGTATTCATTCTCCGAGAGCTGGAAGTAAGACGACAGCCACGGAGTAGCAGGGGCTAATCCTTAACGAGTCGATTTGCAGCATCTGCATAATGGTCCCCAGCACGATCACTATCATTCCATTCTTGTAATGCACGAGGCAGTGAACTAAGAATGTAGTTCAGAGTGACGATATAGGACCGACCAATGCGCAAATCCGTTAGTAAAGGTAGACGCTGCATTTTTGTGTATATTAGCTCGCCTCGCAGGGTGGCTCCCTATGGAGGGAGGGACGTTACACATTACGGTTTTATAGGCAGTACACGTCCAGCAATCGACAGCTCATCTTGCGCATTTGAATCACATCGAACGTTTTCTCCCTCAACTAATACCCTAATAATGTCCGCCTGCGCAGCGTAGCTCCCAATGCAGCCCGACTAAGTAAATGCAAACTTGGGGGATTAACTTTAATGCTTTCGCTAGGGTCATGTGTAGCTACGTAATGCGAGCGCTATATACTCCAAACGATACCAGGCATTTGCCTGCATAGCTATTCCGTGCAACGTAACGACTAGTTACATAATGCAGCTCCCTATTCTAAGCACCGTTCACTACGGCTCGTCTAGAGAGACTAACCTACATATATTAAGAGAGATGCCCGCCGCCCGCTCGCGAGCCTACCGCCTTGCTTTCGCGCCTTTAGATACCACAATTAGGGTTATAAAGAAGTTTAGGCTCTATAGAGGTGCCAAGCTACACCGGCCCGTCGTAATCGATATCGTAGACGCCGGGTAGCTTACTATCGTAAAGTAGGTCCTATAAGTCCCGGCTTAAATCCACTATAGCGCTATTAACGAATATGTTAGCAGTCGTAGGATCCGACGTCTGCCGACCTATGCCGACGCAGCTCGTATATCTATCGACTACTATCGCTACGGCAGAAGTTCTCGTACGCGGGTTTATAAATATCTATTTCTTCCTATAGCTCTCCGGCCTCGGCTATAATTAGGCCGAGGAATTGTAAGGCGTCTAGACCGCTATATAGAGCGAGCTGTCCGGCTCGATATCGCAGCGAAATGCCCCGCCTAGACGGTCGTATATAGAAGCTATCTTGCCCCCGATAGCGTATAAAGCAACGCTACGATCGGTGCTACGGCAAGTAAGGGTCTAGTTTATATAGCGGGAATTTCTAGTCTCCCTCTTTACTTCGTAGGAAGCGTAACTTAGCTGCGGACTAACTAACCGCGTCGGTGCGAGCTAAGTACTAGACTCCGTTATTAGAGTCGAAAGCTCTCTATTAGCGGAAGTCGTATAGAGGAATCGTATTAGGAAGGAGCTTTTATCGTATAAAAGCGAACCGACGGATCTATTAAAGGATATTAGGCTGCCGTTAACGTAGGTACTAAAGCCTCTAGGTATAGATTACTAGTATCCTAAGGCATATATTAGAATAGAATTCTTGTCGGAGGAATTCCGATATAAGCCCTTAGTAGGCAACCTACCTAGTACGTAAAGGAGAAGTAAGCTTCCTAGAATATAATAGAGCAGATTTATTATTAGGCCTAGATTTCTAAGGTATTTAAATAGAGTATAAAGATAGCAGTCTATAGATAGCGTCTAAGGAATTTAAGCTATTACTAGGGACCGCGCACTTTCTATAAGTACCTTCGTTCTAATCCGCGTACCCCGGGGGAGGGGTCTTAGACGGTATATACGTGCTATATCGTACGCGCCTTCTAAGCGGAGAAGCCGATACTAGTATACTTCTCCTAAGGCCTAGAGCTTTAATACTATCTTTATTAGAACTATCTACTAGAGAGGTTATAGAGTAGAAGTAATCGAATACCTTAATACGCGTATTAGTATATAGTTAGAGTAAGTTAATTATAGAAAGTAGTCTATACGTACTAATCTTAGTCGTCGACCGGCTTAGTTATAACCTAAGACGCAAATTTTACCGATTAGGTTATAGAAGCTAGACCGCTATAGGAAGTAGCGCAGGGATATGAATATTTACGCGTAAATCTTATATTCTATTTGCTTATAGACTATAGGTTGCGTCTTCTTGCGATCTATAAAGTACTATAGCTAGCTTCGACGCTCTAGTATTAATAAATCTAAGCATCGGGCCCGTCCCGCTTACCTAGTACTAGCTATCTCCTACGCGGTAGTACCGCCTCGATTACGGTATACTATTACTAGCTAGAAGTCTAACTTAAACAAACGAATATTAAGTCGCCTCGTTCGGAAGACCTAAAGCTTAACTTCCTCGCGAAGTCGCCGGTAACTAGAAACTGCCTTTCTTAGCTAGAGTTTTCTGCGGGCGATAAAGATACTTACCTAAGATAGCTACCTACTTTTTAGGCTCTTTTATCTCTAGTTAAACGTAGCTTTCTATATCTAGAACGTCGTATATAACCCTTAAACGTTAGCCTATCTACTTAACCTTTATAATAGGGCCTATAGCTCCTACCTCTCTCGAGATCTAAACGGCGTTCTAGGAGACGTAGATAGAGATATCTAATAACTACAAACCTGTTAGCAATATATAAGGCGTAAATAGGAGATACTTATATCGAATTCTATATCTTTATTATCTATAATACTCTATATCTACTATTATAATCGATCGTAATATTTATCTGTTTGCTAGACGATCTTAATACGACGAGTCTTAATAGCCGCTAACTTCGACCGATTTGTTAGAAACCTAATAAATAGAAGCTACGCGAAAATGCTGTCGCTAGATACGAATATAATAATAGTACTAAATTCTTCTAGGCAGATAGGAGCTCCGTATAGCTCTCTTAGCTACGCTCGAAGGCCGGGCAAGGCTCTATCGTAATTCTAGATTCGCCTAGTCTAGCTACGGTTTTAATAGATAATAATAGAGATCGAGTAAGCGGCCGATCCTCCGGAGATATATTACTACTATATAATTATAAAAGGATGCCGCTAGAGGACAGAGAACTCCCGCTACGTTAGTATTATAAGATAGATATACTAACTAGAGACGATCGTCTACGTACGGCTTAGTCTTAGCTCGAGGACTAGCGAACTTCCTAGCCTTTCTATTCGAACGATATAGATTATTTGCGGCCCCGATCTATTCTAGGCGATGTTCTAGTAGGCGTAATAGGTATACCGGGCTCTAGACGTAAGCAGGAACGCGCCTATTGCCCCTAATATTAACGGGCGGTTAAAGTGCTTCTTTATTCGTATATACTCCTAGAGGCTAACCGTAAGAATAACGCTAAAAGTAAGATAGCTATATAGGAACTATTCGTATACGAACCGACGTATCGGAGGAAGAACTGCTAATAAGACTACCGCAACGAAGCACTATATACGTTAGCGGAATCGGGGTGTCCTATACGTAATCGACTTACGATAATACCTATAATTCTATTTTTGCCTAGGATCGTGCGGTCTTATAGTATAATTACTACGTAAACGATCCCCTAGGCCGTAGCTATAATCCCGAGTAATCTATAGATAAAATAATACGTCCGTAGAGACTATCCTAGTATATAGGACGCGAAACTAAGCTACTAGACCGATATAAGCAGGATTAGATAGACGAGGGCAAGTTGTTCTATATAGGTACTAGCTTTAGAGAGACTTCGAATACGATAGGCATTATACGCCGCCGTTGCAGCCTAGTAAGCGGTTAATACGAGAGTCTCTACTTAAGTCGGGTTTACGCCGATTAGATATCCTAGGTAGAAAATTTATATATATACTAAGTATCGTAGAATTACCTAAGAGAACGGTCGAAGTGCTAGTATATATAGCTATTATAGACCTCTTCGTAATAGGCTAAATCCGAGGAGCGAAATTAGAACGATAGTATATATCTCTTATACGTATATAATAATATAGTATCGAGACGATATTCGAACGAGTATAAGTAGTTATATATTTCTATAGCTCTATACGTATTAGAGAGGGAGTTAGATATTCTATTTATAGCGGCGGCTGCCTCGCGCCCTATCGGGCGCGTAAGGCAATAGTACTATATATATCGAGATAGGCAGAGCTACCTTATTCCTACTTTCTTACTATTAACCGTATACGTAGACGACCTTCGACTATACTATAAATAACGCGCAGAGTAAAAGAATACTT